CTGTTCTTAATGAGCAATAGTTTTTTTCTTTTTGTTTCGTTTGTTTTTCTTTGTGGTTTGTTCAAGCGAAAACAAAATACCTGATCAGATAACTGGAAACCTGAACAAAGACAACTTCTTGTTTTATCCTTTGTATATTTTAGCCTCAGATCAGGATCTATATTACCAAGTTAAGCCCCAAAATATTCATACTCCTTGCAGATTTTTCAGACAGGAAGTTCTAACAGAAAATGAGACATGCATCTCTGTAAAGCTGATATGTCAAAAAAAAAAAACAAGCTCAGAATGAAAAAGGAGAGTGGAGGTTAGTGAAATCAAACTGTTATCAGGGCTTCTTCCTTCCTGTGTTTGTCACTATGAATATTTGGTAATGCTTCTGGTTTGCTCACAGGGAAGAAGAAAGCAATGCTAAAGGCGGTGTTTGGAAAATGAAAGTACCAAAAGAATGTACTGTAAGTTAAGTAAAGCTCTTTTGCAACATGCATATTGATTTCTCTGTTTAACAAATCTGTCTTCATATTTACAGTCTGTGGTGTGGAAGGAGCTGCTATTGGCCACTATTGGAGAACAGTTCAGTGATTATTGTGCCTCAGGTAAATCTCTTGCACATCTTAAAACACATGCAAACTCCTTTCATGAAAACATGTAGATCTTCAAAGAAGGCACCAACAACGATGAGTTACTTCAACATTTAATTTCCTTTTGGGGTAAATAAACTATTTCTGAATTGAATTAAATCATTATGGGCTTTGAAGATCAAGCTCCTGTTGAGAAGAGCTGGTAGAAGTACCGTAAATCCAACTGTTTAGAGTGTAATCAGCCGTGAATCAAAGAAGAGAAGTCTTGGTCATTGTTTCTCAAGGGTACAAGGACATTTTTAGCAGCTCAAAAAAAAAAATAAAACTATATAAATCAAAACTCTGCAGGCAGATAGTGCAATAAAAAAATATTATAAATTGAATAAAAAAGGACTGTGCAGTTATAGAAGAAAAAAATATATACGCAAGAATATTTACACAGAGATTGCGGTGGACATCACTTTCTCATAATTTATGATATTTAATTTTTCTATATTTAACCTTAATTTTAGTTGCCATAATTTTTTTAGAACTTTATTCATAGCATTTTGAGACAGGCTGCCGAAATGTGAAGTGCACTATAAGTAATGTTTAATCCTCAAACCTCCAACTATAGGGCTCAGAACCTCGTCTTTCTTTTACAGCAACTCTCAAACTGCAGTTAGCACATGCAAAAAACACACAATAAAATCTTATTTGGAATCTTTGTAAATCAGGCCCTCAGAGTATAAACAGCATTTTTCTAAATATGCCAACCTGTGGGACTTTATGTGTGGTGGGTGGAAAAATATTTATTTACAGGGAGAAATTTATCTTTTGCATACAAAACATCAAACCTTCTGGCAGTATCATTTTCAACTTGACCAGCCTTTCTCATTGTGTGGTTCTCTGTATACAGAGGATGAAGTAGTTGGGGTCAGCATCAGTGTAAGGGACAGAGAAGACATAGTTCAGGTCTGGAATGGGAATGCTTCCTGCGCCGATGAGTCAAAGGTCTTGGAAAAGATCTACGAGCTCCTCCCTGAGACACCTTTTAAAGCTGTATTTTATAAACGTAAGTATCCTCTTTGTCTTAAGCATTAAAATCTTTTTGTCAAGCATTTAATAAAAACATTTGGAGCACTTTGCTTACTTTCTCTTAAATTTGTTTTAATCTTTTTAGCACATGAGGAGCACCACGCTTTTGAAGGAGGTCGAACAAGACACTAAATGTTTTTGCACATTAGAGGTTTTAGGTTGTACAACAATCTTTTCAATTGGTCACAGATCACTCAGGAAGATTACAAATCACCTTAGATCTTATGTATTACCTCAGCCTAGCTAAAGTATTTTCAATCAATATAATTTTAGTTAATCCAAGCACCACTTGCATTACAATGTCCTGCTAATATAGTTTGATACACCATAGTGTATGATTGTTTTATTATCTTTGAATGTATTTCTGTTGTTTTTTCTGTTTTTTTTACCTCGACCTTTTACAAATGCAAAACAGAGTAGTGATTTTCAGAGGCTTTCTAATGAAATGTGCAGTTTAGATCTTTTAAACTGTTTTTCTTATTCAGTAGAAGTGAATAAGCAAAAAAATCACAATCTACAGTGTTGTATCTATATAAGAATTATTCTATATTTTTTGTCTTTAAAGGTATAGTGAAAGATTTTCATGAATTTTTGAAAAGAACCACCCTCTCCACTTTAAACAAAAAAGCACATGCACAAACCTGTACCCGCTCACAAGATGGAACGCCTATGAAACTCGTGCGAGAGCATGCACGAGCACGTCTCCTCATGCACACCCTGTAAAAGTTGCTGTTTCGCTCAAAAGTTTACTTCACAAAAGAAGATTTGCAATTTTGCACTGTCAGACTGACCCCCAGGAAATAGAACATTCTCCACTATACCTTTAAATGTTATATTTTTGGTTACAGATAAAGTAAACTGTTACATGCAATGAAGGAAGTCTTTTGTGTACCAATAGGCATTTTATAGTGTCTAACTCTGCACATTATATTTTATCTTGTGTTTACTGTATTTATGGGAGGGAGAGAGCATGCTATTAGAAAATAGAATAGAAAATCCCTTAATTTTCCCACAATGGGGAAATTGTATTAACATTCTATAACCTTAAAGACAGAATGCCTTGATTAGATTCTGGGAACTAGAATCTAATTGCAGTTCGCAAACTGCTCTTTTTTTGTGGTTGGCCTTTACACTAAATGAAGCACTTTGTGTCATTTTTTTCTTCTTTTTTTTTGTATGTGTGTGCGAGATATTTTATTGTCACTCCAGTATTAACTGAGGTTGTTTTACTGGAGACCAAATGCACTTTGGTTTTGATGAAATGTAAAGTTTCTCTGTTTGCATCTTGTTGTTTTTTTGGCATGACTTTAAGTTTTTGCTTGTTTTTCTACTAGCAGAAGACATTGTATTAAATTTATCTGGATAATTTATGTTTTTCTGTAGCGTTGAAAACTGACATGAACAAAGAATGCTTGATCAACAGCATAACAGGGGGGTTTATAGCTTGTGTTGAAGGCATCAAGTGAATAAAACAGACTATAAGGGTCAAAGACGGTTTGTTACTTCTGCACCAAATATTTTGTAGTTTCTCAGATATCCATAGGTGTGAGTATCATTCCAAGTAGTATGAATAACTCATAATATCATAATAACTGCATGATGTGGCCTACATTTTGGTACTGGAGATGCTAGTTGTTCCTGCAGAGCTGCGTTATGCTCATTACGACTTGAGCAGAGCCATTTATATGTTACATCTAAAAGAAAAATCATAAATGAATAATCTTTAAAAAACACAGTTAACTGAACTCACTTTATTTTGCCTTAGTAAATACCATGTTCATTAAAGTGATCACTATTATTTAGGAGTAATATTACTCTTGTCCTGCACATATACTGCTAAGGAATCACTTGAGATTGATCTAGGATTGTGCCTTGTTTTTATCAATTGTTTGTATTGTTAAAGTTTTAATGTTTTAAAATGGTGAAATTGTGTATTTGGTCATGTGTTACTGTTAGATTTACATGACTTGGAAACAAAAGAAATAAAGACTCCCAAACCTAAACTATTTTGTGGAATGTTGTTTTAAAAGTCACATAGAACAATATACTGTATTCCACATGTTCTATTTTTAGATTTATTAATAAATCCTGAATATTTTTGACTTGTTTTTTTTTTTTTCTTTAAAAACAATTTGAGTATTCAAGCTTCTCACATCTAAATGCTTACTTAATATTTTGCCCCTAAATATGTTTAATATTTTGTTCCCTTTTGCAAATGCCCTTTTGAAACAAGATTTTCTTTCCCCGTTAGTCAGATAATACATTTTTCCCCTCATAAGTCAAGTAACAGCATTTTGAACTGTATCTTTCATGATGGCTGCTATGATAATGTCTCCCTCTTGTGGTTAATTCTAATAAAAAAATACTGGTGAATCTATCTTTGGGTATGATAAACTTGAGTTTAACTATTCCGTTGCAGATTGGCAATATATGCAGGGTCCATAAAAATGCCTCCCAATTTAATTTAGCTATTTCCAATGAATCTTTAAGGTAATAACATTCAAAAGTGAAACCCACAGATTTATCTTTTCCAATCTTTCTATCAGTTTATTATTATTGTTTATTATTTATGGTGCAGGAAATGAAAGAAAAGCAAAAATTCCGGTCTTGATGAGAATACATACATAACCCGAGACCAATAAAAAAGTACATTTAATGAAGAGGTATATATATTGCAATAATGTGAGAATCTACACAATCAAGTGAAATGCTGTTGACTTGACTGTTGTCCAACCGGTAAGTCACCGACCTAAGGAATGTAAGGCACTAAAGCTAAGGGTAAGAATGAATCTTCACATTGTGTTGAAGCATGAATGTTTATAGAAAGCTGGGTGGAGGGAAAAAATGTTGCAGAAAGTAATTTCCCTCTTTAAGTAATTTCCCTCTGGGATTATTAAAGTATTTCTGAGATAGAAGTCCAAAGCATTATTAAAATGCAGAGAAGCCTTGCTAGTTTGAGTGAGTGAATACGAACAGATGCATCAAGAACATGGGTTACAATTAGTAAGATGTGTCTTACCTGCACTGAGAAAATAAGTAATTGCACTGTTGTTCAGGAATACAAAGCCCTCTTTTTCAAATGGAAATAAACTTTGAATTTAATTTGTTAATCAAGGTCCCAGAGTTTAGAGACACATTATCTCAGTTTAACACAGAATCCCTTTATGAAAATGCTTATTTAATTTTCAAGCATGACTTTGCATGTGCTCACATAATCAGTACCTGCTTTAACAGTACCAGTAACAGTAATTAGTAAATGTATTACTGTGCTTGATTGGCAGACAAGGTGGCCTAAAAATCCCAATGAGAACATGTTGGACATTTTTCAGCAAAAAATTAAAGGCCAGTCCCAACATGGTGACGAGCTGAATGCCGCTATTAAAGCAATCTAGGGTTGCTTTCCTCTCCGCCCATGTCACATTGATACAGTGTTTTATGTAAAACCCCACAAACTAAACATAATTAAATGGGGGGAGTATCTTTGAAACTTCTTTTCTCTGTAAGCTCAGAATAGCTTTTCTTTTGTACTTTTTTGAAAATATTGTATTTTTCATTTTTGTGTTTTATGAAGTATCAGTATTTGATAAAAGTTTATTATTTCTTTATAACCAGAGTAATTATGAAATATGTATTATGATTTAATTCAATTTCAATAAAATTAAATTTAGTTTTTTTCTATAGCACAAATTCACAACACAAGTCATCTCAAGGCACTTTACAGTTCACCAGATCATACAGTCAAATTGATTCAAAGTTCTCTATCTAAGGAAAACCAAATAATTGCATTGACTCAAATGCAATCCCTCACACTAAGCATGCTTGTAGCGACAGTGGAGAGGAAAAACTCCCTTTTAACAGGAAGAAACCTCCAGCAGAACCAGGCTCAGTGTGAGCGGCCATCTGCAAAGGCAGACTGGGGTTCAAGGACACAGAAGCAGAGATACAAAAAGCAGCTATAAAAGGCAGCCCCCCAGCTCCCTTGTCAGAGGATGAAGAGAGCACATCCAGCCAGTCACGGTCAGAAAAAACAGGACTACACTGGAAAACAGGCTGATCTCCAGCATCTATAAACAAGGGTGTTGATGGAAGCAGCACATCTGATATTTCTCTCCAGGATGGTTTCACAGCCAAACAGGAACAGACGAGGCAAAACTACTATTAGCATGAGCAACAATCATATCTCTGATATAAGATGGAGCTTGGCCATTTAAGGCTTTATATGTGAGAAAGAGGATTTTAAATTCTATTCTGGATTTAACAGGAAGCCAGTGAAGAGAAGCCAGGATAGGAGAGATATGATCTCTCATTTTAATTTTCATCAGAACTCTGGCTGCAGCATTTTGGATCAGCTGAATGCTTTTAACTACAGTTTGTGGACTTCCTGATAGTAAAGAATTACAATAGTCCAGCCTTGAAGTAACAAATGCATGGACTAGTTTCTCAGCATCACCGCTGGACAGGTTATTTCTAATTTTTGCAATATTCCTCAGATGAAAGAAGGAAATTCTAGAAACTGTCCAAGCACTGATCCCTGTGGTACTCCACAGGTAACCTTTGAGCATGAGGAAGATTTGTCATTAACTTGAACAAACTGAAATCGATCAGCTAGATAAGATTTAAACCAGTCTAGTGCTGTACCTTTAACTACAACAAAATATTCAAGTCTTTCTAAAAGAATATTATGGTCAACTGTGTCAAATGCAGCACTGAGATCTAACAGGATGGGCACAGATACAAGTCCATTATCTGAGGCCATGAAAATATCATTAGCAACCTTCACCAGAGCGGTTTCAGTGCTATGATGAGCTATAAAGCCAGACTGAAGCTCTTCAAAATGTTCATTATGGTGGAAGTGATCGCGATTTAATGAGAATAGATATTCAGTTTTATCTTTTTCCTTACTTCAGTAGTTCATTTATTTCTTCATCTATCTTAAAAATAAATTATTTCTAAATAAAATATAGCCTTTTTTAAGCTTTATTTTTTATTTTTATTTTATTGCAATAAAATACAAACTTAGTTGGATCATCGATTTATGAATTAGCCTAATTAACAACTCATCATCAACATTTAACACACAGCATCATCTTCTACAGTTTTTTTCATTTTAATCTTATTTTTTATTCTTATAAAAACAGAAGCCATTTAAAAGGAGATAATTCTTTTCTTTTTTTTCTGCAGTGGTTTCTTTCAAAAAAAAATTTTTTTATTTGCACAAAAAAGAACATACATGAACAATATAGAATATTAATAATTACAAACACATACAACAACAAAGGGCTTTACGGAAAAGAACTATTACGGTATTTTAAAATGTCAAAATCAAATCTATGCTTGAGAGTTATAATTCTTTAAGGGCAGTTATAATTTTCATGGCTTTAGCATTTGAACTAAATTTTAAGGATTCTATATAGATATTAACCGAAGATAATAAAATATGGAAATTAGGTTTTTGTTGTAAATATTTGGAGGTGTGAATATGATATTTACCATAAATAATAAAATAATTAATAACATATAAAAATTCTGTTTTGACAAGTTCGCATTTCTCCATCCCAAACAAAACTTCCTTATCTGTTAACGTAATGTTGTCAAGATTGTTATTGATGGAAAAAACGTATATTTTGCTATATATACAATCCCAAAAAAGATTAATAAGCTTTTCTTCATTATTTTTTTTTAACAAAAAGTACACATTGGGTCCAAATCTCATTTCTATCTTTTTTTTTTTTTTTTTTTTTTTTTTTTTTTAATCAAAAATGCTTTAACAGGATAAACATTATGAATAATTTTATAAGAAATTTATCTTACTTTATTGTTTATTAAGTATTTTTTAAGGAGCAACCAAGTCCACTTCCAATTTATATTTTCAAAAGTGTTGGACCAATAAAAATTACAAGCTGGTGAAAAAAACAACATCTCGTAATAGAATATTTCTTAACCTTTTGTTGGTTGTTTTCTTACTTATAAAACAACAATATATTTAATATAAATGGAGTTTGGATCAAAACTTGGCATTTCGGTCAAAAATCAAAACGGGGGTCCTCGTGTTAACATCACGTCACCATTGTTTACTTTTACCCAAGCCACGCCCCCGTTAGCAACTTGTGGCTAGCTCGTTACCGAGGAAGGCAGAGTGCATCGAGGGATCTTCTTCTGTCACCACCCAGCGTTAAAGACTGTCCGCTCGTACATATTTCTGTGAGTAAACGTCAATAAAACAGCTTAGTGGGTGATATTAAATACCTACTAATATAAACAGCAGGTTTCTCTAGAATATTATCGGAGGCGCAGCGGTTAGATAGCACCGTTTCATTTGAGCTAACGTCAGGAGCAGTAATATATAGCTTTTGTTAGGGCTGGCATTCACGTGAATCCAATATGCTGAATTAAATCAACAACATTTCTTTGAAGGTACCTCTTTTATATATAGGGCTTGGTTGTTTTGTATAGTGGATCTATTAGACTCAAACATCCGGATTTATTTGGTTATCTAGCTTATGTAAGCTAATGGCTCCGACGGAGAACTACACTGCGGTAGTTGCTATTAACGGGTTTTGGATATAATTACTTGGTCCCGATACAAAACAAATATAATAACATACTGATGCAGTTAAGGTCAGATCTACTATTGGATTATGGTCGCAGTTGCTGCGGGTGTGATGGCTGATGTGCACTGAGCTCCAAAGGCAGTTTTTTTAATGCTTAATATTACAGTTCATAACTGCTTAAGTGGTGCAAATGTAATATTTTTCTTCCGGTATGCACTTTTTTTAAATTAAATAATAATTTCAATTAACGATCCGTGCCATTTCCAAATTTTTGAGAACATAGAAAATCTTACTGGAGTTAGTTTTCGACATAATCTGAATAATTAATTGGAGGATCGGGATGAACATATGGTTGTCTGATCACATAGAAAGTTATAACATACAAATGCATATCGATTTTCTTTAAAGATATAAGACATCGAGTTTTACATGTAGGAAAAATATGAGTTGTGAGATAATTAAATTCAAAGATATGAGTTTTTTTTTTTTTTTTAGGTTTTTAATTAAGTTAATTGATTTCATTCCAAAAGAAAATTAGTAAATTATGAGTTTCCCATTTATGTATGGCAGCACATGTCCGGAGGGATCATCAGGTTTCTCTTAAACCTAAAAAAAACAACAATAAAGATTAGAATTCTTAGTATAAAATCTTTTTGATGAATAACAAAAAATAAATAACCAAAAAAAAGCTTGTCTATTTTAAACCAGATGACTCATTTTAAATTTTTGTCAATTCGTGTTTTCATCATACGATCAAGGGTTTTCCTTTCCTTTTTTTCATAAAACAGCTTAGTGTCAGAATTAAACAACATAAAAAAATCTAATCCCTGAATAGTAGTAGCTCTAATTAAAGAAATATGATATGCATTTTTAATAAGCTCTGATAAAAATGCTGAACAACCAGATAGATGTCTGTGTTTTGCATAAGGAGCTCAAAAATGAATTAAAAATGTTCCCCTTCCTATCAACGTTCCCCTCCAGCTTATTTAGAAATTTCTACAGGAAACTCTGTCCTTTGTCTTCTCACCTAATCTTGATCCTAGGAGTTAAAATAAACAGTGCAGATTTTACCAGCCTGTGCCTGTTTTCAACAGATTTGTCTTTTAGTTTGTGATTTCTAGAAATGTAGTCATATTTTATGTGTGAATAATCTTTTGAGCTAGAGATAACTTGTTGCTCATTAGTCATGTATTCATTGTTTTTTTTACACATTAGATTGATTCTCAGGAATTTGTCTTTTTCTCCTTGCAGCCTGTTTTGGGCATAACTTTATCTGAGTATATACAGTACAGTCTAATCTGAGGTTTTCTTACTGTTGCCTCTCACTGGTGCGTGTAAGAATGATTTGATTTTTAGATTAATCTCAAAATGTTCTGGAGTTTGTTAGATGCTGGGTTTTCTGTGCTGCTTTCCATCTCCTTATGCTTTTTGTTTGCCTTCTTTATTTACTTTTGTTTATGCTGCTGAGCTTTTTACTCAAACACTCCCAAGCTGTATACATAAAAGCCTACTTGTGCATTGTACTACCTGCCACAGCCGTTTATCGCACCACCTGGTTAATGGTAAATTGTTCCAGAAGGAAGATATGTTTGCACATAAACACGGACCCAGGGCCCCTGTGTTTACAGTAGTCATGGCAGCACTTGGTTATTCAACAAATAGACTTAACATCTTCCTCTCTGGTGAGTGGAAGAGTGTGTTTGTATTACTGGGTTGGGCTGCAAAAGCGAACTTCTCAGGTTTTAGTGCTGTTTCTTTTTACTCATTGTTTCATCTATCTATGATGCTTATTTCAGCAGCTGTTTAATCCTCTTCTTTTTATCTAAAAGAATGAACCTCTCATCACCCAACAAAGTGTTTTTCTTGTTGAAAGCAGCCAAACATGTATGTTTTCTGAACTCTATCCAAATATTCTGTGGCTTCATTGAGTGACTATCATTTTGTTGCTTTCCTTTTTGCAGGTCAGTGAAGTCCAGATGCATGAGTCCCAGTCAGATCCAGCAGGACACACCGTACAAGCAATCCACATAGAAAGCAGAAATCCTACTGAGAATGAGAGTCGACTGAAGAGCAGCCAGACTCCTCCTCCTCCTCCAGAGGTCCCAGGGGTCAGTTATCCCCATAAGCATTTTACTGAGTCTGTCAGAGTTTAGTTTAAAAATAACTAGAGATTCCTCGATCAGGTTTTTCCTGACCGATAATGTTTTCCATCATTTTATTCATTCATTTGATGTTTCATCTGTCGTTTTCTCCTGATGTTAGGAGTGCATCATAATAAAACATTAAAGATGTTGGTGGGTCTTTGATAGATGTTGTGGGTTGGAATTAAATGCAGCATTTCAACATTATTCCTATTTGTGCATATTATGCGTCTGGCATTTATTAGCCTTTGTAAGCTGAACAAAAGTTGATATCATGGACTGTCAAAGACGGGTCTTCTTAAAATACATATTTAAAAGGAATTGTTGGATTCGAAAATGTATTGCTTGATGCCTTTATAGACCAAAAATGGTGGGAGTTTTACTTTTTATGCATTTTTTAATTAATAAAATTAAAATCTTAACTTTTTTTATGAGTGCTATTTCAACAACAAAAGACTAACAATAAGTACCCTCAATTGAAGTTTTACTTCTGTAAAGAGACTTGTATAAATGTTTGTCTAGGGTCCAACTGATCCAGCTGCCCATTAAAGCATGAATATATTAATTTGATTTGAACAAGTTTCACAGCTTTTCTTTCTCCCTGTATCCATGGACTTAGACTGCATAAATGTGTCCTTGAACCAGTCTGTTTTTTTGTTTCTTTTTCTCCGATAAATGGGCGTGCATGGTTTTTGGGGGATGGGGTAGCTGAGGTTTTGAAGGGGATGGGAGAACTCTGCTCCTGCTGGGTGGAGGGGTCAGTGGTATATTGTTGGTTTTGTTTACCCTCATATCACGTGGAATGCTGGGTTAGATTTTCATGGTTGCTGAGAGTGCCCAGAGAAACCTTTTAGTGGAGGCTATCAGGTTTGTCTAACCCATCTTTAGTTTTGTTGAGCTATAGTTTGTAGAACCATGCTACCTGAAGTGATTTGCTTTATTTCCTGCATCTATATCTTTGCCTGTTGTTGCATGAAAGTTTTGCTTGGATTTATCAGAAAGTGTATTCTTTTTTGCAAGTTCATCATTTTTTATTTTTTTTATTAAGATCTATTACAGCAAAACAGCAAGTATCACTTCTGGTCTGAGAAGCATGTTTGTTTTTTCATTGCAAGTTTTGAGGATTTCTATTTGCTGTCAGTCATTTCTCAAAAGAGTCCACAAGACCAGTCTTGCGGGAACAGATCTGTGTTTACACTCAGTTGCTCACTGGTATGACTTTCAACAATAACAACAACAGAAGATGTTTGGACTTGCAGGCTACCATAGCAACAGGGATTAGGGAGAAGGCTGTTGTTGTGTTGATGGTGTCCACAGAAAAATAGAGGGGGGGGGGCAGCCGGCTCTGTCCGTAGGATGGACCTGCCTTTTCTTTTTGTAGCTTCGGTGGCCATTCTGCAGCACACAGTTTCATAAGAAAAAGACAAACCAGGAGGCAGTCCTCTGTTATTGTTAGCCCAAAGCCTGTGTGAAATTCTCTGTCAGTTTGTTTACCCGACTCCAAACAGACTGTGCCTTTGGAGAGGAATGTTTGTTTGTGGTTCAAACCTTAATTAAAATACGAATCTCAAGTTCTGTTTTCGTAAACAGGCCCTGTGTGCTTTTTTATTCATTATTTATATCTCTCTGCCATTTCGATTCCTCGGTTTTTGTTTACCATAAACAACTCCTGAGCGATGAAGCTGACAGCAAAAAGGGGGGGACGGTTGGGGGGGGTAATTGCTGTGTGTGGACTAAAAGAAGATGATTTTGTTTTTCGCTTCTGACTGCTGTTTTTGTTGTTGTTTTGCTTGGGTTATAATTCCCCAAAGCCATCCGGTGTTTTGGTTGTTTTTGTGTTTGTGCTGCTGTTTTTAGTTAGAATAAAATCATGCTCAGGTCATCCTACTGAGCTAAACTGAGAAGCTCAGTAGGATTTTATAACAGGTATATTGACAGAATGACACCTCATTTGGCTGAAAAGATATCTGATCATAAATCGTTAATTTGTTTTTAATAAGTTGATCTAATCTTGGACTTTAAAAAACATTCTTCAATGGTAACATTTAGTAAGAATATAATTTCACAGTATCAACACTAAATTCTGACGCAAAAAAGTCATACATGATCCAATATCTTTAACCCCCCCCCCTTTTTTTATTTTTATTTTTATTTTCTATTATTGATTCACACTAACAAGCTGACATAATCTGTTATTCAAGCTATTTGCACAGATATGCAACCTTTGTTCGGTTGCATAACAGAGATAGTCATCTGTAGTAGCTAGAAAGATTGATGGGAGAGCATGGAAGATGTATTTTGTTATTTAAACAATTGGAAAACTTTAGTGTCTTTTATTCTGTTGGCTGACTAGTAGTCTGGTGCAACAAGTGGGCAGAAATGTTGGAACAGTTTTTAAAGTTGGTCTCACATGACAGCTAACCTAAAGTGACAAAGACTGCACAATTGTAGAAATGTTATTATTTGGAAATGTGAAAGTATAAAATAAAGATGTCAAATCAGACATGATAGAACAGGAAATCTTACTATTGTAGCTAATAGAACTGTTAATGGCTGAAGAGTAAAGTAAATGTTTTTAATTATTAGAATTTAAGTTAAATTGTTATGTGTCAAAAGAGAAGTTGAAACAAAGCCCTACTAATATTGTGACCAAACCGAGAGAAAAAACTATGACCGTAAACATAAATGTTCACAATAATGCACAACGGCTTAAGAATATTCCTATATGCTTTAATATATAATACAGAGCTTAAGTTATATTGCATTACATTATGAAATAATGAATAAAAAACACTGACCAGAGTCCTGGGTACAATTTAGATCTTTTGAGAATTAGTTTATAAAATACCTCTGCTTATGCTTTGAATATACTTTTGGTTTAAATCTTGGGAAAAGTGAAAGAAAATGGTCACATGTTCAATATAAATCTTTCATACCTGTGCTCTTCTCTCCAGGATCTAGAGAATTATGCCCCTGCTTTTCTAGCATAGACGTGACCCAATCTTATCTTTCTCCTCCGATGATGAAGGTTCCAGTGTCATCTATGATGACCCCACCTGCCGAAGCTCCACAACTGCAGCAGGCACCACAGCAGCAAGTCCTCAGTCCTCAGCAGATCCAAGCGCTGGTCCAGCAGCAGAAGGCCCTTATGTTACACCAGGTATCAGCACATCCAGCTGGTTTTACTATGCTACGTTTGTCTCAAACCCTGTATTTGCATTATTCCAGTGTTACTAATTTCTCTGCAGCAACAAATTCAGGAGGTCTTCAAGAATCAGCAAGAGCAGATAAATATGCAGCTGCTGCAACAGAAGAATGCTGGAATAGTTACTCAAGAGGTAAGGTGAACGGAATACAGAATCAGCAGAAACATTAGCAGTGTTGAGGTAATCTCTCTTGCATTGAGTGAGATATTTAGATGGACTTCTTTAGGTTTTCCTTGTTCCTACTTCTGCCATTTCATTAAAACTAAATGGAAATACAACCGACAGACAACTGCTGTTTCCATACTAAATTGTAGAGCAACAGAGAATATTATGATAACAAAAAGTATTAGGAAAGTATGATGACTGATCTTGTCTCACAGCTCACAGCCCAGCAGATTGCCATTCAGCAGCAGCTTCTTCAGGTGCAGCAGCAGCATCTGCTCAACCTGCAGAGGCAAGGGCTGTTGTCTGTGCTTCCCATGAACCCCACTGTAGCCCCAGGTAGGTTACCTGTTTTAACCTCTGGACTATCTAATGTTTTCCTTCATTCATCAGACTGTAGAGAAAATTATTTTGAACATTAAAAAAGAAAAAAAAAAACACTTTGCAAAACCCTTAAGTCAATATTGCAGTATTTCACAGCATAGACAACTAGTTCCTAGTTGATACCACTGACACCAGGACAATTTTCTCTTCTTTATGTAGGACCTTTTAAGGGACTCGTCAGGCTCAGTTTTAGCTTTCATCTTGAATTGTGTCGTTACTCAGGTTACTTTCTTATGCAAAAATATATTAAAAGGAAATATTGTTAAATGGACTTTCATTTTAATTTAAGTTCACCTTAATTACAATTTAAAAGATGGCAGTAGTAGAGAAACCTTTTTAGCCAAAATGCTTCTTTGGAGTTCTGTCTGTCCGTCCCCATGTATACATTTTCTGTCTACACTCAAAATATATACCGGTAAGATAAATTGAGTTAATATGTTTCTTAACAATTGAATTAGAATTTGACTCTAATTTGTTGTCAAAACACACTTGCTGCTGATGACTTGTAAAGTGGCAATAAAGTTTTTTGCTAATCCAAAATAACTTTTAGAACAAGTGAAGAATACATAACAGGCACAACGTTAATTTTGTAACAGGCGCTATTGAACAAGCATAACACTTTTTACCCCACTTCTAACACAATGATGCTTTGCGCAGGACAGAACCTGATCTGATCTTCACAAAATCAGTTTATCAATCAAAGATTAATTCAAATGTCTCGTAGCTGCATGCATCTCAATTAAAAAAACGCTGTTGTGTGCATTTTCAGGTTCTGATAACAGCAGCGTTCTCTCTGCTGCTGGAGATATTAGAGAGTCTTCCAGCCAATCTACCACTAATGGTCATCACACTCTTCTGAAGAGGAAAGAAAGGTTTTAGATTTACTTTGCTCTTTTTCATGTCGCTCAAACATTAATTTTAGAAAGAGTCCATTAATATTTGGCTTTTCTGTTTTGTGCAGTGGTGCCCAGGATGAAACCTCACAGAACAGCCATCCTCTGTATGGAAACGGCATGTGCAAATGGCCTGGCTGTGAAACTGTTTTTGGAGACTTTCAGGCATTTATGAAGTGAGTACTGCACGCCGTCTGGCTATACAGCAGTACGGTAGCCCTGAGGTTCAAAACAACATTACAAAATTTAAAACAATTGGAAAGCTTGAGCCATATTTACATTTCAGAAAACAAAAACACATTTCAGTAAACAAATTTGCAAATGACAAGACTGAGCGGAAAGGGAATGAGCCAACTCGGATGCTGACCTGGAAGTGATAACGCGGCTTGACGCTTCAGGGACTAGAGCTAACATCGTATTATGGCTGCTAATTTACATGGATCTCTCTCTCTCACCAGTGACTAAAGAAGCTGTAAGCTCAACTAAAATCCTCATAATTCTCTGATATTTTTTTTGGCTATTTCTCTTTTTTATCATTACAAACAGTAGAGGTAGTTTTGTTAGTGGACGCTGTCAGACATTCATACTCAATGCGCTCATTTTGAAACACTTCATTTTTTGCTCTTTAACAAAGACACACTTGTGAGATATTAATAAATGTATATATGAATACCTGATTTTATGCTGTAATACATTTCATGCTCTTTAGCAGAGACAGAAATAATCTATAACTTTTTAATAAATGTATAAATTAATTAATTTTTTAAAATAAAAACTGACAGGAGCAGCAGAATGTTATCTTTGAAAGGACTTCATTATAAACACATATATAGATAAAAGTTGAAAGAAACATAAACAATGCAGTAACACACCGAAATATGTTTAAGTAAACATATTGATAAAGAAAAATTAAGTCACCTGGATTGTCCCTCTGTTGTTAAATGTTGTAATTTCAGTTTGAACTAAAGTGGACAGAGTGTGCAGACCTCCTCCAAGCATCAAATTACGCCCCATATTGTGACTTACACCTATAGCTAAAACTCCACATGATCTGGATTCTTGCCAAATTTAAATGAATTATTCGCTGGTCTGAGGTCCACCTTTGCTAACAATTTCCTTAAATCTTTCCATAAATTTATAAATAAGGCACAGCGTGTGTCTGCAGCCTCTGGTGTTTGTTCTGCTCTCAGCTTCTTCATTCACTCTGCTTACTTCTTTTATCAGCAGATCGAGACTGCTGATAAAGCGAGGCATGGCTCACCTTTCCTGTGTTTTTGTCTTTACTATAACACTACTGGTTTTTTTTGAGTCCAGTGTTGAAGCTGTCCACAGTCACTGCCGCCCCCATCTGGTTCAGAGGGGAACTACTAGTCTGTCAAATAACGTTAAGGAATCCTTTAAAAAATTCCTGCATGTGGATGTGGATCTTCACCAAAATTTATAGGATTGTGCCTTAGATTGAGGCAAACTTTCAGTAAAAATTTCTTTAAAATCTGTTTCATAACTTTTCAAGTTATCTTTGACAGACAGACAAACAAACAAACTCACCTAAAACACAACCTCCTTGGCAGAGGTAATGATTGAATTTTTCTTGTATGGGTTTTCTGGCAAGTGGAATTTTATATCTCCTGCCTGATTGGCGTAGATTAAATGAGTAAGAGGAAGAGAAGAAACATGGACACTGAAAGGTGTGCTGCACTAATATTTTTTTGGCAGCCTGTTAAGTGCGAGTTTTATTTTTAGTTTGTTAGTTATTAAGTTGCACCAGGATTTTACACTGAAGGTGAGAATACATTCTATCAGTGACCAGTTAAGTCTTTTTTTTTATGTTTAAAATACTTAAACTTTCTGAGACAAATGAAGGTCTTTGAAGGACTTTATAATAAACAGTGTCAGAGTGGTCTGTGGTCCTACATAGGTTATACCCTCCACCTGTTTAACCAGCTCTTTCTGAAGAGCAATAGATTTAAGATGCTGAGATGTTGTTGCTCTGTCTCTCTCATCATTGTAACATTGAGCTCAAATGATTTTCAATAGTAGAAAGCTAAAGTGACAATGGAGATAGACCCATCCAATATGGCGATGTGTTTCAGCAATCTGTGCTCACCATAAAAAAACTTGTGTTATCATTTCCGGGTCAGCCTCCTAGTTTTGTCCAGTTGCACCTCGGGGCCTCTGTGAAGAGAGTCATAATTTATTTTTAATGCTTAGTCTTTTTATTCTTCATTTAAATCAGTTTATTCCCTTTCCTTCTCTTTACACTTAACAGTTCATATGTTTTTAATTTTATTGTAATTGTTTGTGCATAGACATTTAAACAGCGATCATACGCTTGATGACAAGAGTACTGCGCAGTGCCGTGTACAGATGCAGGTCGTTCAACAGCTGGAGCTGCAGGTATGGAGATTTGAAACGGTAACAATTACAAATCAACTCTTGTTTACTAAAAGGACCTTTGCCTGTTATACCTTTGTCAAATTTAAATCATGGCGAGGAGTCGCGGGTAAGGCCGCTTTGTCAAAGTAAAAGTGGACATATTTGTAGTTGGGGTGTGTTTTTTTTTTTTTTACACCCTCCCTGCAACCAGAGGTGTTGTGTTAGGATAATTGCAACACCTAGGATGACACATAGAGTGTCATGTAACTAAAACTGTGAATTTACCATCCTCACCCTCTATTTTGGTCCTTCATCTAACACAGCTGAAAAAAGACAAAGAGCGACTGCAAGCTATGATGGCTCATCTCAAATCCTCTGAACCCAAACCTGCAGCTCAGCCTGTGAGTACCCTTCCAGATCTGTTTTTTTTTTTTTTTTTTTTTCTGCACCTTGAGTTTTTCTTATAGATATACCCTTTTTGTGTTTCTGTGTGCGCAGGTGAATCTCATTTCGAATGTGTCTTTTGCCCCGGCGACATTGCCCAAAGGACCTCCTCCTATGAGTCTGTCTCAGAGTGCCACAACCCCCTCAACACCCCTGACGCCGCTCTCTGAACCCCCCTCAGTCCTCACTCCCAATAGCATGTTCACTAGCACTCCGGTACGGAGGAGATACAGCCGCTCTGTGAGCCAAGGTACCCAAAAGATGAAACTTAATTCTAGTGTTTATATTGCCTTGAAAAAGCTTGATTCCGATTGAACTTGTGTTTTATTGGGATTTTGTGATGGACTTGAATATGAGCAAGTCGCAGTAGTGTATCATTGAGATTTTCTTTTAAAATAAAGCCATAATGATGGTGTCTATTAATACCCATCAATAAAATCTAGTGATACCCAAAGTACCTGATGAGTAAATAATGTGCAATTTAATCTCAGTATAAATCTGGATGTTCTGTGACGGTCTAAGAGTTCAGTTGGATGACGTTAGTGGATAAACAGAATCATAAAAATTTTAAAACATACTTCAAGAATAAAGTTGAGAAGTGAAAAAAAAATGTTTACTTTCAAAACAATATAATTAGTACAAAATCCAGGCTCTAAAAAAATGAAGATTACCATCCACTTAAACTAAAAGTAAATCTGGACGAGCTGCAGAGATATACAGTTTGATCAGGACAATCGATCCATAAGGAATTATTAGTCTCACACCAATCAAAAGCCTTAATTGATAACAGAAAAAAGAAAAACCTTTTTCAGATGCACAGCAAACATGAAAGAAAGTACTCCAGTCATATGAAATATTTCTGCATAGAAACCATGATTGCAAGAAAAATAAGCTTGTACAAAGCATCCCAAAGGTGTAACATGATGGTGGCAACATCATGCTGTGGGTCTACATTTCTTAAGTATTGAAAGGGAAGCTGGATAGAGTTCATAACAAGCTAAATGGCGGTAATAAATGGTAATCCAAAAAAAAAGAACTTGAAGTGAAGAGACACTTTCCAGTCTAAATTCAGACCAAAAAATTCTCTACAACAGGCATGCCCAGAGTTGGTCCTTGAGGGCTTTTGTCCTGCATGTTTTTGAGGTTTCCCTCCTTTAGCACAGTTGATTTGCATAAGTGCAGTTCAGCAAAGGCCTGTTAATCAGCAATCAATGAAATCAGCTGTGATGGAACAGGCAAACCTCTAAAACCTGCAGGACAGCGGCCCTCGAGGACCAACTTTGGGCAAACCTTTTACCCTCTACATATGCAAAGCTGATAGCCATTCCCCAAAATATTTTTGAAGCTGTAAAAATAATTCTGAAAAGTGAAATTCGGCCTTGGAACCTGAGTGCAATGACTGAAGGACTGCTTTTATTCATTTTTTTTTTTTTTTTTTTTTACAAATTTATACTACTTGGTCTTTTGGGTCCCTATAAAATACATTAAAGTTTGGGGTTTACAACTTTATATTTAAAAGAAGTGCTAGTGGTATAAACACTTTAGAATGACACTGTACATATCTTCACTCAAACTATAGTTTCATTTTAAGTTCCCAGACATGACTTTTTCATCTCTTTCTACAGATATAATTGATAATAAAGAGTTCTACTTGAGCACAGAGGTTAGACCTCCATTTACATACGCCTCTCTCATAAGACAGGTAACGCATTCCTGCTGTTAATTTACATGGCTTCTGATAAATGAAAAAACTCTTCAATCTTTTAGTTTGTTGCATTGTTTTCCACAGACTAGCTATAACTCAAATCATTATGTTTTTGTGAGTAAATAATTCTGACTATTTCTATCTGTTTCAGGCTATATTTGAATCACCCCGCAATCAGCTGACGTTAAATGAAATCTACAACTGGTTCACTAGAAACTTTGCGTATTTCAGGCGCAATGCAGCTACTTGGAAGGTATTAGTGACATCACACATTTAAGATCAGAAACTGATTGTACACTGCAAAATCTATCTAGAAATAAATTAAAATACTTAAATTAACTGTATTTACCCTTATTTGGAGTAGGTAAATAGGATGATTTGCCAATGGAGTTAGTATTTTTACTCTTAGAATTAGATAATTAGATAATATGCACTTGAAATAAGACAATGCAATAGTTTTTTCTAATTTTAAATATAAATTATCTTGTTCCATTGGTGAAGTGTCTTACTTAACTCCTCAATTCAAGAGAATATTTACTTATTTTGAGAAAAAAATGACTTATTTAGATAAAACGTAGTTTGCAGTGTATTTACATGCAGATGTAGATTGCATCAGGTTTAATAGTTTAAACATTTCTTGAATCTTCCAGAATGCTGTCAGACACAACCTAAGTCTACATAAGTGTTTTGTGCGCCTGGAGAATGTGAAAGGAGCCGTGTGGACAGTAGATGAGATCGAGTTCCACCGAAGGCGGCCTCAGAAAGCGGCTGCCAATGGGTATGTACACTTTAGACATTGAGACAGAACGTTGTGTGCGTTTAGGTCTTACTAGAAGTCAGGTGCCTTACATCAAAGAACTTGACCTTGTCACTCCGTCTCTTGAGTGCATTTGATATTTACTGTAAACAAGAGTCGGAGCTAAAAAGCCCTGGGGGTAGGCTTTTCTAACATTGAGTACTTGGTGTGTTAGTGGAGCAAAAGTAAGGACACTGAAGGACAATGATCAATGAAATATAGAAACAGCTATACTGCAATCAGCTCAGAGATTATAAACGTCTTTTTTTCTGTTTAAATCAAGTAATTACCGGTAGGAGAATGACCAGTGATGACTTCTGCTGGGGAAAACGGTCTGATGCACCCTTTGCACCAATTGAATAGATGATGTCGCTACTGAAGTGATTGTTAGAACTGTGTTTGCTATTGCTTTGGTGTGGTAAATAGAGAAAAAAAATCATTTATAAATATCTAATAATCTAAAAAAAAAATTACAGCAGACTGTACACTAACTCCTTTAAAAAAAACAAAAACAAACGTAAGAGCTTAATTTTTAGATGTTTCTGTCAATGTCATCGCATTATAGATCTAGATGCATCATGCAACAGAAAAAAGTTTAAAAAGAAACCCATATGATAAACTGCTCTCTGAATTATAATAATCTGACACCCACAAATACTTTTTTTTCTAAAAGATTCAGCGTGATGCAAAACTAAATTAGTTTTAGATCTTCTTAATTTATAATTTCTCTGACTGTAGATTTTTGCACTTCTTTACTGCTAATTTTTAACCTATTAATATCAAAGCACTTTGGCCTTTCTTAAAAGGCTGGTTCTCTTGTTTATATAAAGGAACCTTTAACTCATGTCGCATATAACCAGAAAGAAAGAGAAAATCGGCAGTTTACACATTTAAAGTTCCCAAACACGTTGGATTCTTACAGATGCTATTAAGTGTGCGACTGGTAGTTTGGAAAAAAAGAAAGATCCTAGCATGGGATTTTTAAGAAATAATCAGTGAAGCTAAACAAAAGATTAAGCTGCATCTTCCTCTTTAAAAGAATGCGTTCAAATTAAGGGTAACATTTTTGTGAAGTCTTCGTGTTATAATCATATTACTGTCATTGTTCTATACCTGCTTCTCTGTCGGAGTGACAGGGTGCTGGTTCTTATCTGCAGCATTCTTTGGACTAAAGACATGGTTTCTTATTGCCAGCCCCTCACAGAGAAAGATAATTTCTTTTTTTTCTATTTGGATAAAATAATTAAAGCATATTTTACTTTTGTGTATTTCTGCTCATAGATCTCTGCTGAAAAATTCTCAAAATCCCCAGACTTTACCCAGCTCTGCTCTTCAGGTAAGGATTATTTAAAACTTTTTTTGTTAATGTTTTTGCACGGTGGTGCAGCTTGCAGCACTGCTGCATTGCAACAAGAAGGTCCTGGGTTCTATTCCATGCCCAGGGTATTTCTGTATTTGGTTTGCATCCTCTCCCTGTGCTTTTATGGGTCCTCTCTGGGTACTCCGTCACCCTCCTACAGTCCAAAAACATGACTGTTAGGTTAATTGTGAGTGTGTGTGGTTGTTATGTCCATGTTGACCTGCAGAGGAAAGGTTTACCTGTCCTTGAATGCATCCTCCCTCTCACCTATAGAAAGCTGGAGATCCATTCATCAAAAGATGAATGGATGTTAGTTTCAGAACTGAATCTAATGAAATGCTGTTTGAAGATTAGGCTAAAACTTGTTAGTGTTTGACAATCTACATATAAAGACTATGAATATTCCTTTTACCCTTTTCAGAATGCTGGTCTAGACGGAAACAACGCTCTCTACAACTCAGCCTCAATAGGTAGCATCCCCCTACACTCCTTGCCTCATGTTCTCCAGGAGCAGATGAATGGCGCCCTGGCTAACGGATGTGGATACCAAAGTGACAGCAGTGCAACACAGTCCCCTCCTCAGGCTTTGTAAGTTTTCCCATTTTGACTCTCTTATTGTGTATTTGTATCAGCTGGTTTGAAATGTCAGTTCTGATAATGCATGCTTTCCATTGAATATGTGACCACACTAGTATCAAAGAAGAGCAAGAGGATGAGGAGATCAGTGAAAATTATCCATACGAGTCTCCAGAGAGCACCGATGAACAAGGCCACAGTCCTGAACTGCTCCAGGGGGAAGTCAGCGGCAGCCCAGAGAGATCGGAGCTTCATTTCAATCGTGTGCCTTCTCTCTGATGATGAGGTCCAACTTGTCCACAGCAGCACCAACTCACTCAGAACCTATGTGACTTGGTATTCCAAAAAGCAACAGCTTCATCTATGTAACCAAACACTCTGTACTTTAGAGTTTTTTTTTTCTTTTGATATTTTTGAGTATTTGTTTTCGTTTGTTTGGTAATCTAGCTCTCGGCTGTTTTTGTACAGGTGATGAGAACACAGTAAGACGTTTGTAAAACTGTTAGTAATTATTCTCATTTTACAGTTTATCTCATCACCAAAATGACCATGATGAGCGGAGAAGCCAAAGGAAAGGGAACACTGATAGTTAGCACTTCACAATGAAAGTTCCCCTGTTTTAACTGCAGCTTTGTGCTGCGCTGGGGCCACACTACCTGAATTTATTTTAGTAATCATTATATATACAAAGATTTGTAGAGAACATAAGAAAATGTTGCTATAAAAAAAACCAAAAATGTTCACTGCCAACATGATCTGATATATTTGTATTGAAGGTATAATCAATCCAGCTGATCAAAAGGATACACTGCTTCTTTCTATTTCACCCCTTTCATAAACATTGCAAAATAAAAACAGATTTTATCATTATTGTTAACCAATGCATCTCTATGTATATTAAATTGATCATGATCTATGTGAAATGATGCGTCATTGATTTAGATTTTATGATTCACTTATTGAAATGTTAAAGTTAATTAAATCTAATTAGGTAATTTAGTTAGCAACAAATAGATCATGTATTTTCAGAGGGGATAACAAATTCATCATGTCTTAGTCATATTTAAAATTTACATAAAAAAAAAAAAACTTTTACAAGTCCCAAAACAAATTGTCATTTCAGGAAAAGTTTTTTTTTTTTTTAAACGTAAATTTGTTTTCTGAAATGATCATTTGTTTTGGAACTTGTAAAAGTTTATTTAAATGTAAATTTGTTTTCTGAAATGATCATTTGTTTTGGAACTTGTAAAAGTTTTTTTAGATTTTGTAATGTTGGTTTGCACCTCCCGGCCACCGTACATATTAAATCCTGCCGTTTAATGGAACACAGTTTAGATCAATACATTTTTCTTTATAACGAGCACAGTCATGTCGTAGGATTACACTCAAATTGCATACAAGCAATTTCTTCACTAAGATTTAATCCCACTGAGTTTGTCCCGATTGAAAAATATCTAAGAAAGTAAAGGCAGTTGTATTAGTTATTTAATTTGAACCAGTCTCTCTGAAGCAAGCAAATGATGGTAGAAAGAAACTCCAACCTCAACAAGATCCAGGTTCTGAATTAGCAGTTTTCTGGACAGAGAAGAGGCAAAAACACAGAAGCGGGTTTAGAATCCTTGTTATGGAAATGTAAAACAAGGAGAATAGAGGTATTGGTTAAGACAGGGAATGTGACTTGAAAAAATACACTCCTGATTTTATAGCAAGGAAACTTCATGCTGGAGCCATTCTTTCAGAATAAAAGTAGGGCTGCAATTAACGATTATTTTGCAAATCGATTATTCTGTCATTTTTTTTTTCGATTAATCGATTAGTAATCAGATAGACAAAGGTTCCTTAAAGAAGACTTTTTACAAACATTTCCACTTGAGGGGTTCTGGATAGACCATATTGACAGTTGAAAATGTTGTTTTTATCTTGAATTTTTATTTATTTTCTTTAACAATCTTGGTATAGTTACTGCTCATGTTTTAGAGTCTCTATACTCCATTCAATGATTAAGCAATTACTAAATTACTTAAAGCTTATTTCAATAATCAATTAATCACAGTTAATCCGATGAATCCTTTCAGCTCTAGATAAAAGGACAGACAAAAATTATTTAACAGTATAGGCATAAAGGCATTTTATAATGAAAACAAAAAGTACAATTTTATTGCATTATTACAAGTATAATAAGAAAACTGTTTTAGAAGATTCACTATTCTTGCTTTGTATTTTACACTAACTGATTTTTTATTTAATTTTTTTTAATGCAGTATCTCCATTTTTGAAATAAGGTGTATAGAAGCCTGAGTGTACAGAACAAGTATGGAAATACAAGCCTGTGCAGATAGCTGAAGTGAAGGTGCATATATGTGTGTGTATGTGTGGGGGGGGGTGGGAGGAGGCTGGCTGTGATCATGTTCACTGATGTCCTTAGTGTCATGTTATAAAGGAAGTCAGAGTTTGTCATGAACATGTTAGAGACGCAAAGCTCTAGAAACATGATTTCAAGTAAGATCAGCAGTTCACATGGAACAGAGTTTAATCTGGTTCAGGTAAATGGAACATGGATTCGACAAACTGGACCGTGCCAAGAAAAGGATGGGAAATCTTCAGATGCTAAAATGTAAGTATAAGGTGAAAATGAGTTGTGTTAATAATTTATCTTCAGTCTAAACCAAAATAATAACTATGAAAGGTTCACTGTAATGACGCTGAAACAGGAAAATGTTATGCCTTAAAGCCCAGGATCATCTTTCCCTCCTAAAATATGTCTCTGTCTTACATTTAGTTTACATTCTAGTCCTGCTGTATACAGACAGTGCACACATATCTACATTAGTCTGTTCCATAGACAGTGTGCAGAAATACCTTTCTATTTTAGGCTGCTCTGAGGCCCTGATAAACATGCACAGCAATGCCAGAGGAGAACATGTTCTCCCTGTTACTGAACATGTGGATAGGTTATATTGCTGAACTGAAGTGGGTCTACTAAAAAAATGATACATGTTTTTGTCCCTAGTGGTTCATATTCTGTTTTTTAAGTGCCAGGAAGTGCTTCTTTAAACTTACTGCAGATCATTCTAGGTTTTTCTTTGGAAGTTAGCAGCTGCCAATTTTCTGAGGAAGATTTCTTTCTGTTTTTGAGGAAGTTCAACTCAACCTGAAAACTTAAGTAAAGAACTCATTTTAACCTAGATCCACAAACACATTGCCACAAAAAGTTTTTTTTCTTGTTTTTGGGGTTATATCAGAAAATGTAATCCAACAATAACACATAAAGAAAATAGTACATGATTTTTTTAAAGTAGGATTTTTAATTATAATGATTGGTATATTGTAGATAATTGTGCATCTGTCTTCTGCTGGATCCTTTTTACCTAAAGACACAATTCTTAGTTAAATTTCATCTATAATAGTTTAATCGTTCCATTCTTAGCATGATACTTACCTTATTTACATTACACTTTTATTCTTTATGAAGCACAGTTCCCAATACTGAATTAAGCTGAATTATAATAACCTGTTTTCTAGGCTAATGTTCTTCTAGCCTAGAGAACGTTTTATTTTTAAATTCCTTTTAAATGAAGTATATGAACCAATAATATGGCCATTATCATTATGCTTCTAAGTAACAAGCTAAAATTAGATGAAATTAACTGTAATAACACCATATCACAATATTTTTGCGGAAGTTTTTTTTTTTTCCTCATATAACTTTGCTTCATTTTTTTGTTTGTGAATATCGTATGTGTGACTCGACATGCACTAGATACTGGTGCATTACTTTTATTTGAATGTCACATAACTCATCCCCATTTCAATATAATGGAGGATTAAAGTATTAAGACAACAAAACCCAGATTCTTATTTAACCATAAATGAGTAAGGATAACACTTTGCACTTAGGGCACCAGTCTAAATCAGGACTATACATTTTATATTTAGATGAGGATATTTAAACAAAGAACTGCAACAGACGAAGTGTTATAGTGTAACACAGAAAGCCAAAGTTTAACAAAGTGGCCAAACTGAATCCCCTTTTCTTTTTTAACTTTACTATGAATGATCTTCAGCTATGAGAAGAAATTGGACCAAGGAGCTTCCTGGACCGTGGTGAGCCCCATTATTTTCACCTACAGGGTTATTCAGTGTAAAGACCTGCTAGATCCCATGAATGACACTTTGCTCTGGGGCCACATAGGAGATGAAGACATTCAAGCCAGCGAAAAAGCAAAACCTGTGAAGCGCTTTATTGTTATTGATAAAACTGTACACCAGCTGTACGGCTCTAAGGTCTCTCAATACTTTGATGCCAGGGGAGTCATTTACAAGATCCTTCCTCTACCCACCACTGAGGAGAATAAGAACATGGAGCTAGTGACCAAAATTCTGGAGGAAGTTCACCAGTTTGGGATTGACAGACGTTCTGAGCCTATCATTGCACTTGGAGGTGGAGTCTGTTTGGATGTGGTTGGTCTGGCAGCATCTCTCTATCGACGAAGGACCCCATACATTCGTGTGCCAACCACTCTGCTGTCATATGTTGATGCTAGTGTCGGGGCCAAAACTGGGGTCAACTTTGCTGGAGGAAAAAACAAGCTAGGAAGTTATGTTCCACCAGTGGCAACATTTTTAGACAGCTCATTCTTCCAAACTCTCCCTCTACGGCAGATCTCTAACGGACTTGCAGAGATGTTAAAGGTGCTTGTCTCTGCATGGCCATTAATTCATTAACTCAATTCTCCAATCACTGAATAAAATGAGTTACATATATCTTAATTCCTCCTTATGATGTGGTTTAATGTTGTAAAGAATCCTATTTGAATACATGTAAACATATTCAACTTATCTGTTAAAAGAAAGTTATATTCCACTATAAAATTAGTTTAAAAATGCATTAATAAATTGCTGCAGGGAGACTTCAACAGAAAAAATAAACTTCACTTTAATAAACTTCAATTTATTTATTTTTTTTGACTGATTTTGTTCAATATTTAACTTGATAATATGCTAAAATAAACATTCCATGAGGATTAAATATATATAAATTCATACTTTTATGTCTTTCACATTTTCTGCAACTTTTGGTGTGTTTTATTGTGATTTGTTGCATTTACTAAATGCATGATATTATCTTTTTTTTAATAATCCTTCAAGAGATATGTACGGAAGAGGATTAGGGCCACTGTAAAAAAAAAAAACGTTAACTGATTTTTAATATTTTATTTGTTTAACATGGGAAAAAAGTCAGAATTCTGACTTTAATCTCAGAATTCTGACTTTAATCTCAGAATTCTGACTGAATTCTGACAATAAAAAAAGAGTCAGAATTCTGAGATTAAAGTCAGAATTCTGAGAAAAAAGTCAGAACTCTGAGATTAAAGTCAGAATTCTGACTTTTTTCCCATACTAAACTGAAATACAATTTAAAAATCAGTTAACTTTTTATTTTTCCACTGGCCCTAATCCTCTTCCGTAGATATGTCATGCAGTGCAAAATGAAAAACGTTTTAAAGCATCATCATTTTGTTTCTATAGCTGTTCAATGATTCAGCTACGTTTGTACCAGTAAAGATATCATGATTTCAGATGGCCCTGATGAAGCACCGTAGCCTATTTGAGCTCCTTGAGTCGAACGGTAAGAAACTGTTGCATGCCAAGCTGCAGCCATCCGAAACCTGCAGTGACTCTGAACAGGAAGACAGCGCTGCAGCATCCATGCGCATTGCCATAGAAACAATGCTAGAGGAACTGGCTCCAAATTTGTGGGAGGATGATCTAGATCGGCTGGTGGATTTTGGGCATCTTATTAGCCCCGAACTAGAAATGGTAAAGGAACAGTTTTAACTCTATTTTAATGTATGTAACACAACTTAAAGCATTACTATATATAAGATGCCATTTTAAAACAGAATAAAGAAGAGCTTAAGTCAAATTAAACATTAAATGTGTCAAATTCATCTCTGCTGTGTATAAATATCTAGTCGTGTGTTTGCAAAGCTGTGCATCTTGCATGAACAAATGAAACTAAAGAGTTTCCGTTTGTTCTGACCTCACAGAGAGTTTTGCCTGCTCTGCTTCATGGGGAGGCTGTAAACATCGATATGTCCCTCATGGTCTATGTGGCCCACCAAAAGGGGCTTCTTACAAAAAAAGAGAAGGATCGTATTATCCGGTGTATGCTGGGTCTGGAGCTACCTGTGTGGCACCAAGACTGCTCCCTGGCCTTGGTGCAAAAATCTCTTGAAGAGCGTCTGAAGCACTCAGCAGGCTCCCTGAGGATGCCTCTACCAACAGGACTGGGAAGAGCTGGTAAATAAAAAAATGCTGTCCCTTTTATTGATTTCACACTATCAGTCAATTTTATTTACTTAATTTTTTTATTGCATGTAAATTGTTTTTTTTTTTTTTAGAAATCTTCCATGATATGATAGAAGATGACATCATTTGCCAAGCATTCCACAACTGGACTGAAGAACTTTCTGGCTTTGGTAATAAGTGAATAAAATATTTGCAAAAGAATGGCACTCTAATCGGTCTTTACATTATTAGGGCGGAAATAGGTAATTGTGATTAATTGATTACTGAAATAATTGTCAACTTATTTAGTAATCAATTATTAGTTAACTGGAGTACAGAGACTTTAAAATATGCTTTTAGCTGACAGAGCGACCCATTTGGACTAGTACTTATATCAAATTGTAAAAAAAAACTACTGTTTAAAGATAAAAAATTGGTTTCATCTATCAACATGCTCTATCCAGCACTCTTTAGGTGGAAAAGGTTTAGTTTTAACTGGTTTACTTCCGTAAAAAATCTTTTAGGAAGCTTTTGCTATCTAATTATTTATCGATTAAGCAAAAAAATTATAATAAAATAATCAATTTGCAATTCACTACAGAAAGACTTTTGTAGTGTTATAATAAAATAAAAGAAAGAAAAGAAAAAATGCCCCAAGTATCCTTATGTTGAACGGATGCACCATATCAATCTAAATGGCCTAAACGTATAGTGGTTTAGGAATAGCAGGATCTTTAGAGAAATTTATTTTTTTAAGTCTGTAAATTTCAATGAATAATTTTTGTTGTCTTAATCATTGGATGTGTTCAAACTTGCAGGAAAAACACACAGAGCCATTAAGCTAAAAAAAAAAAATCTTTTAATATCTCTAAAACAGTAGTTTAACATTGAGTACCAATGAAAGTGAGTTAAGTAATCTGAGAAGAGTGGGCACAGTAAGTATTGCAACATTTACCTTATAAAACTTTGACAATGAAAACAGTTGTAGTACACTTCATGAACCACGGAATAAACTTGAGCAGACACTTAAATAGCAACAGAAAAGGTTCTTCTTTAGTGGATTTGAAATACACCACAATCTAAGTGCAATACGCATGTTTAAACCACAAGCTACCAGCTCACGGTCAAAAGGTTGTGTATTAATCTTATCACAAGTCTTACAATCATAAAGGTCCATCTGCAGTGATCCAATGTTCACTTACAAGCTTTTTTACTGGCTGTTAATGAGTTGGTACTCAGTAGATTACAAAACACTGTGAGAGACACGAAAAAATGTCTCTATATCCAAACAAACTGTTATTCTTGGAGTTGTGTTCTTCGCACTTTAATAATTTTATTTTGCATAAACTGTATATTACAATAAATTAGCTTCATGTCTCCTGTTTCTGGTAAGATGTTTTGAAAGTGACCATCAGTAGCCTAAACATGTAACTTATATTTTGTATAAATACACTGCATCTTTCATTGTAGGCACACAATTGTGCACTACATTTATACCACATTTAGAAAAATGTCTTTATGTCCAGTGTAACTGCAGGAAAACAAATACACAACAGCAATATATTAAGTTTAAAAATGTTCAGTAATAAATAAATATGTCTAATGTATTTAAAGCTAAATGCTACAACCAGCCTGCACACTCCTTAACTAAGATAATGTAGCAGTCGATGCTAACAGTTGCTAACTGGGGGTAAAAAAAGGACGGTATGCTCTCCTCCAGGGTAGCTGATTTATTTATTTATTTATTTTTTTATTTATTTGTCCATAATTCAAATTAGGAAAAACTAATAAAGCTAGGTTAGTTTCCGTCTATAAAACCAAACAGTTTTCAGAAACTTTACAGACCCAGTGGCCATGAATGTATCCCAAAACAGTTACATAATTACTTATTTACTTTTTTTTTTAATCCTTCATGTACTGTTTACTTTCAGCCACGGCCATATTTTTAGGGCCATTTTATGTAAGCCAGTGATTAAATGTAGAAAATTTAACGCCTACATCTACAGCTTAATGCTAACCTTTTAGCCACTTTAATTCAAGTAATTTTACATATTGAAATATGTTGAATAAAAGGAAATACAGGCTATATATATATATATATATATATATATATATATATATATATATATATATATATATATATATATATATATATATATAGGCTATATATGGCAACCTGTATTGCCTTTTACACAGGTGGATGCAAATATTAACTTGTTTTGGCCTTGTTTGGACTAGATTTTAGCGTTTCATTGGTCCAAGTTAAACTTAGCAACTGTTTAGGCTTGAAACCATCTTCTCCAAAATTCAACATCCAATTCAACATTTTTAGATGGAGGAAGTGATGCCTTGTCAACCAAAGTTTGCTTGGTTAGTTATCATAAAGACTAACTTGGCTGAGTCATTCTTCCTTTGGCACTCTTTGTCTCGCTAAATGCTATGTTTTATAGCTAAAGTCAAAGCTTGAGATTTGCGTCCATAAGATACCATACTAATTTCTGATATCAATGCTGCCCTTGTTTTTAAAAATCAATATTATTTAAAAGACTTTTTCATTTCGGTACCATTTGAATTCAATACATTTTAATTGTCATACTCTTTTTGAAGCACATTTCAATTTCTATTCGCAAAAGACACTTTAATTTGATCAAAATTTTCTTAATAACTTACTAAGATCTTTATGTTTCAATTAATAAAAGTGCTATCGCAAATCAATAATGGTGGTTCTTGAGTTTAAGATACATAGCCTGTTGTCTCACACTGACCAAAAGTCTTTTTTTAGAGGATTTCCGCACCAGGTTTTTTTTTTGTCTATAAAGCACCAAATACCAGCATAATCAGTTAAAAATATTGCATAAATTCTCACACATCACCAATGTAACAGAAGGCACTTAAATGAAATGGTAATTAAAGTATCACTGTCTAAAGCTATTTCATAAATGACATAATTTCAAGACGTGATGTATCACAGGCACAACTTCAAACATTGCATAGTTTGACAAAACAGAGACTGTTGTATCCGAGTTATCAGTAATGGCTCCTGGTTATTCATGAACATGCTACAACATTTGCAAACTGCAGAAATATACATGCAATAGTGTAACTCTGTTGCTCTATTCTCCGTATGGATGTCACAAGTCAAATATATCAAGTTTGGGCACAAAAGCTTAATAAACTACATTTCAGTCCACAGAGGTTAATCCAGTGTTTGGACGATTCCGTACATTTCATATAAAATCAATAATTTATTGGCTTTATAAATTTCACATATCAAAAAAAAGAACATCCCCATTGTGAAATGTTAAAGTGGTATAAATATAAATAGTCTAAAAAAAAAAGAAGAGGCAAGAAAGCAACGCCTCTGCAGTATTTCTTTACTCTGTGTTAGGATATCTTTAAGAAATCTGTGTATCAGATCAATGCTGCTAGAAAATAATCCCAGTCTCAAATCTATTGGTTTAATTCCAGACCATTTTTGAAACTTTAACATTTTGGAAGTAGTCTTGACAATAGGAATGTATTTGTAATATATCTACTACAACCTGTAAAGAGCATTCAGTAGATAAAAGGTACATAAATCTTTTTTCTAGTTGGATTATTTCTTATAATACTAAATTAAATTGTTGAATTTGTGCAATTTTAAATATTTCATAGGGTATTTATTTATATATATATATATATATATATATATATATATATATATATATATATATATATATATATATATATATACTTAAGGGGAATGTTTAGATAGAATTATGTCTATAGAGGATCATAAATAGTTAAAAAATCTAGAAGTGATTGTTTATCAGGCAAGTAATTTCATCTGGAAGACTGACAGGGAATCTGAGCTAATGTGTGCATCGTAATACAATGATGTACACACTTCTTAATAAGGCATTGGCACATTCAAGTTCAATCTAAGACACAAGGAGTGTAAGCACTATTGTAATAAATATCATTCTTTCTATTATTGCTACTGATTTTCAAAGCAGTGTTTACCTCACCACAAATATCTACACCTCTGACTGATTTAGTTTCCCTAGATTCTTTGGAGTTGACAAAAAAAACACAAGCTAAGCTCTATAAAAAGATAAATGTATAGTTTTGATATATAAAACTTCTAACCTTTGAAACTTATTGTCATTGAAGCATTGATTAAAGAAAATACTCTTAAATATGTCATTGTAATCAAGTTTGAAAGCTTGAAAAGACAAACAATAGAAAAAAAAAGGAAAAAAATGAAGATTCAACATGTAAACATAGAAATGAAATAGAAGGTAAATAAAAAAAAACTAGACCTGAACCTGTATATCCTCTTGTGGTTTTTTTTTTTGGCAAGATGGAGGGGTTAAAGATACATGAGAGCCATCTACCCATTGGGGGCGCTAACAACCCTCTTCATTATCATCCATGCTGACACTGCTTTTGCGGCTGCTGTCCTTTGAAGCGTCTGGGGAGACGGAGGAGAGCAAAGGGTCCACCCCTCTGACAGGAGATAAGTTGTCTTCCATGAGGATGTCAGTGAGTTTGGTTTCTGCTTCGCCATGAACACAGCTGTAGTGGCCCTCGTTAAAGTTGGAGGGACCTTCCTTTAGCTCCAGTGTGGTGGATTGCTCAGGAGTGCAGGCGGGATGGTGTTGGCGATGGAGTTTATAGAGGTCTTGGTGACAGTCCTCCAAAAGAGGCTCCCTCTTAATGGGCCGCACCCCAACTTCAGCAGAGCAGAGTGCTGAGGAAGTGATGGCCAGACCGTGAGCCCGAGCCTGCATCTCCAACTCCTGCAAGTCACAGTCATTTGCACAAACAGGAGGGTCACTAAAGGTTTTGGGCATTTATGCATTATTCACATCTTTCTGTTAAACAGACTAGCAGGGCTGCTTCTTAAAGATACTTCTATATTTTTCCTCTTGAATTTCAAACTTCAGTTGTTACATTACAACCACTACCTTTAATCTCTCTTATAAGTTTTGTGTGATAAAGTAGTCCATAGTGCACAGTGGAAGGAAAGGGAGACGTCATTAATCCACATGTTTGCAAATGAATATCTGAGAAATAGGAGAAGCATTTGTTCTAAAGTAAATACTTTGCAAAAACAAAACTAAATCCAATTACAGCTGAAAGTCTTTCAGGGTATATCACCTTCACATGCATTAAGGCTGTAATTTTGCAAAGTTCTCTTTGCAAAATAACTAAATCTCAGTCAGCGTAGATGTAAAGCATCTGCGAGCCTTGCTTTCTAAGTCTTGCCACAAACTCAGATCTTTTCCCTGCAGGAAAGTGAACCTTCACACCAGTCTTAAGTATTTTGCAGCTTCTAACCAATTTTCTTCCAGGGATGTTGGGGACACCACTGTGCTTTTTCATTATGTGAATGAGAATAAAGGCTGACTTTTGGATTTTCCATTTCCAAATAAAGATAGAAATTATGCATTGTTTTCCTGTTGGTCTGTCATAATAAATTGAAATACTTTTGAACAGTACAAGTTAATGTATATATATTTAACCCAAATACAACTAATTAATTCTATCAATGAATGTTTATACCTGTATTCTAAGCATCAAATGGCGGTTGGCGTGCTCAAGCTTTTTCTGGCGGTTTTCTAGCTCCTTGGCCCTCAGCTGCTCGCGCTGCAACTTTCGGATGTAGTCCACCGATGCCTTCAGGATGGTGCCTTTGTTCCAGCGCATGTCTCTAAAAAATCACAAAAGAAGAAAACAAAAATCAACATTCTCTATTTACACTTAAATAAAAAGCAGCACTTTAGTTTCTAACATCAAACATTAGAGAGGATCATAGTTATAGTTTCATCTTCTCTCACAAAAACATTTTAACAGAGGGCAAACTGAACCGATGGCACATAGCTTAATAGTTGTTGCATCTTCATTATTTAGAAATGGATTAAAATCAGATCAATTCAATTTGTGAGTGGCAACTTCCAATGAGGGTGGGTTTTTTTGAATACAGATATCTGAAGAGTCAAAAATTGTGCTGGGATCACCTAGAAAACACACAAGAAGTCACAGAAAGATATAACAAAAATACCTTAATAATCCTTTACTCCAGATATGAACATTTACACCAAAATGCCTTCATCAAAGTATGTGTTTCATACAACTAGCAACTGTTTTCATAGCCAAAGTAAACCAAAGCGAACTGTGCAGCTATAATTAATGACTAGCAGCTCATGGGTTATCAAAGCACCAGTATGTAGTTTAAAAGTTCAACCAGAGCAAATACAAAAATTCATCAGTTACACAAATAAAGTGCATTGCCTCAGATGGTTTAGTGTCTTTGGCACAAAATTCCCCTGAATTTCCTTTGAAAATGTTAACTTGATTTTTAGCTGCAGAGGCAGTAACACTAAGAGGGGACTTTGTTATCGAAAGGAAGCAAAATTGACAACTAGCAAAATTCATTTTCTATTTATTTTATGTTTGCAGTGTGAGAAAGAAATACTTTCAGAACCAATCAAAGCAACCAAAACTCTGTCTGAGATTATGAGAAAACCTAATAAATGTATTAATCCTAGTTTATTTTTATTTGTTTAGCTTTCTAAAGCAGAAGTATGGAAGAAATAGGAAACTTACGGGTCATTGGATTTTGGAATCAAAGTTCCCAACTCCTTGATGCGATCGTTGATATTAAACCGTCTTCTTCTCTCAACTGCACAACAAGCAAGGAAAAACATGGAAGAAAAACAGCGGAGACATTTAAATTAATAGCAAATTTTAGAGCCAGAAAACATACAAATCTTGAAATAAAAAAATCACAATTGGCTCTCCATTATTTTAAAATAGGTAAGACATCTTTTATGCACTAAATGCATGATTAATAAGTATTTAATCAGAGCCCTGATACTGTTTACAGAAAATATATGTATCTTTTTTATCAAAATACTTAAAGCTAGCAAACTACTATCATTAACAGATGTGGAGAAATGTATTGATAGACTAAGTAAAGGATGCAGTGGGAATGAAGACTATAAAGAGTCTATCTGTGTATTATAATTAGTTGCAGTTTTATAAACTTCTTTTCTGAAAATCTTAACTAAATTATGATGGAAGGAGAGTAGCATGTAAAGGTTGGTGGAGGTTCCCCAAATACGGTTATTTATTGTTGACACAGCCATCAAGGGTTTTTCCATTCCCAAAAGTGTTACTTTTGTCCCCCTCCTTTGACCCTATATTTACAAGGGAAAATACCCTGTGTTATTTCATTTGTTTATTTTTTTCTGGCTGTATTCTTGACTTAAAGTTTGCTTTGTTTTATTTCCTTTTAATCCATAGACATTTTTCCAGATAAGATATAGACACAAACACATTTAACATGGAAAATATTTTAAGATCAGCTTAGATAGTTTTTTTTTTTTTTATTGTACCAGACAAAATATATCCCTTTTTGCAAATATCATATAATGCATCAGCTGGAACTCACTCAGATTATGGTTGTCTTTCTTCTGCCTTTCCTTTGCGAGGGCTCTTACCTCAGCTTCTGGCAAAAAAACACTTTCATTAAAAGAGTGTGATAAGTGCTGTATGAATGAATAGGAAAAAAAATTCCCAAAGAAACTAAAACCACCAGCACCCGTGCTCAATAAGTTGAAGCTAAACACTGAGACGTACCCACAGGGAACCCCTCAGGCCTTTGATAGGTCTCAAATTTTCCACAGGATCCAGATTTGTCCAGCATGTGCATGATGGCCGGGGATTGAGACACTATGTGATAAATAACATACTTTCTATTAAGAAAATTATATAAATATAATATAATAATAGTAATATAATAATAATAATGTTAATTATTAAAGAATTTATACTATGGAGGAATCTTAAATCTGCTCACCTGAGTATTCCCTTTTGATGTTGGAGAGGTTGGCAGGGCAGGAGTTACTGATGGGCAGGCCCTGCTGCGGCATGCCCTGATTACCGTACATGTCCATAAGGTTAGCAGATACAGGAATCTGGGGAGGATAAGGGAAACAGAATACATTATTAGAGGTGGGAATAGTAAGAATGACGGTGCAGTGGGAAAAGGTGAGATTTGACGTTATACATATTGCTAATAGTGTTTTTATTTTTCTAAAGTCTGAATCTGTCAGAAGCTCTGAGCTCCAAAATAACCAGAGACTTTTCTGGTGTTTTTAGAGAGAAATGTAAATGCATGTTTAGAACTTCTTTCGTCTTCAAGAATATTCCTTTGGGATGTAAGCTTTTTAAATATCAATTCTTAATCTATCACAGGCATCTCTCATGCTGTGATCTTTCATAAGAATAAAATCCATTCTGTGTGGTAGTAAAGCATTATAAAAAAGGGCACATACATACCGTGTTTGCCATCTGAAGTCCAGGATCCATCAAACCGAGGATGTCATCACTGTAACTTGACTCCAGGCTAATAATGTCATCAATGACATCATCCATCTGCAATCCCACAAAAGGACACATGTGTAATTAACTCCACCAACACAAAACGCACAAGCACAAGCATACTTTAAGGGGACACGGCGCACCTCTTTCTCGCAGTTTGAGTTGAGGGTCAGTAAGGCCATAGGGCTGTTGGGGGCGCTATTGCCCGGCCCTGGCGGCATGCCCCCGTGGTCAGAGGACTGGTTGGGGCAGGGCAAGCTCAATGCCTGGGAACCAAGCTTTCCCAGGTACCGCTTAACCTGCTGCTGCTGGGAACGCTGGATGTGGTACTTGGTAGGGTTTTCCAAATGAGTCTGGACCTGTTGGTTGAGCAACAAAAGCAGCAAATTATTTCTTGTCAAAGTCTCATGAAACACCCATTGCTGCCAGCCTGAAACTTTGACAATACGAAGTTTAAGGTTTCGTTGTGAGCTTTAGATGCCAAGAAGAGTGTTAAAAGATTTAAAAAAATGAGTGTGTAAGCATGTTTGTGCTCTTATTTTGAAATACAAAAGGAATAAATTGTTGAATTGAGTGTTTTTTAAGTGACCTAACTAAATTATCTTTTAAGCCAGGGGACAAAACGTGATTATGAAAAAAAAAAAACAGTCTAACTCAAATAGAAAAAAGATTTCATTTGTGAAAAAAACCAAAGCGAAAACGTTATGTTCTCAAGACTAGTATTACTGTAGAACTGATAACAAGTCAGACTAGGATTAAGCTTTGCACACTGCATGATCCAGTTGGTGGTTTCAGATAAAACTACATGGCTAAAGTAGCATGATGCATCTAGTTTGTGCTAGAAGTAACACACATGTAAAGGTGAAAAACATATATACCGGTATAAGGCAAAAAACAAAGAAGCGCCCCTGAAGTCCAGGACATTTTCAAAAAATTTTAAACTCATCTGATCTCATTACCATAAACCCAGCAGTATGTCATCTTATCCTGTAAAATGGATGACTGGTTACACCCATTTTCCAAATTAAAAACAAATCTGTAAAACTTTGAGGTTTTTCTGGACTTTATTTCATTTGTCAAAAAACAAAATGAGTATTTGAAAAGATTAATTTTTGCCTTAGGATGCAATACAAATATGATAACTCTTATAGCGAGAGCAGCAACATAGTTGTTTCGTTTTTTTTTACTTTCCAGACATTATTGCTAAAATATACACCTTTGAACCCCGATTTCCTACAAACTTTTATGTTGTCAGATTAAGGAAATTTCCATTATAGATCAAAGATTTGTGAATCTTGTTATCCAAAGACATGAATATAATCAAGAAATATTTCAATATATTTTTAAAATAATGTAAGACAGTGCCAAAAATAGTTATCAACCTCTGCATACAAATTAAGCGTTTGTTATCTGAGGCTCATTAATTCTCCAGCATTAATGATCCAGAAATATGTCTGCAGGCAGAACCACACACACAGACAGATAAAGAAAAAAAAAACAACTTCAGAGATGGCGTTTGTCAGAATGTAACCCATTTTAAATGGAGTGGAGCTCCACATCCATCTCACATGTAAACCTCTCTCCCTTTTACTCTAATTTTGAGGACATTATAAAGGCACTGATGGAGACACCTTAACAAGAGTTTAGATGTTGAACTGAAACATATTCTGATCAACTAAATGTTTTCATTCATTTCTTGATATATCAGGATTTCAGACCTACCTCATAAGGTTGGTATCCAAGCATCTCAAGCATATTTCCTTCTTTGGATGGTTTACAAAAATAAATAAATAAATAAAAATGCAAGTGTGATTTTCAGCTAAGATATGCTGCTGCAGCTTCCTCCTCTGCTGCGCCTGCTGGAGTGAGAAGACACACATCCAGCTCATCCTTTCAAAGGCAAGAAAAGTAATTAGCTATGCATGTCTGAGAATCTCAGTGAACACAATGATCCTATTCAAACTTGTGTTGTTTTATGTAAAAACTGTATTTATTCCTTTTATGGCATGTCACTTGATGTTAGGACATGCTGCCAACAGTTAAAGCCTTTGTCTTGTGAGGCCACTTCTTTAGCTGAAACTTGCCTGGGGCAGTTTTTTTGCCCCCTCCACTTTTTAACCTATATAGATACTTTGCTTGTGTTCCCAGTTCAGCACTGCACAAAAAAACACTGCTTCCCCATGCTTAGTCTGAAGTTTGCTTCAATAGATGATTTTATTCAAGCTTGATACAACCAATCTCCAGATTGAAAAAAAAGCAAATTTAATTACTCTTCCCTTGACAGATTTCTTTGCAGGGGGTTTAAACACACACAAAAAAATCACAGGTTACAGAATAATGGTTGGATAATGTCAGATATTTCTGAGGCCGTTGAAAAGATTCCTTTGGAACTCAAGCACTGAATGAACTGATAAAAACACCTAATAACTATGGTATATAGTCAAACTGTGAACATATTGCGTATTGTTTTAATTAGAGTTTATCTCTTTTATTTGATAAGTTTCATGTATTGAAAATCAACAGTCACAGTCAGCCATGATAAAATGCCACCGTATTCTATTCCTCTACGAAATGCATACTGTAACTAGTGAGTAGAACGAAACATATAAGAGGTTTATATATAAAAACCTGAGGAATGTAGAATGTGTTTGTATAATGGCTGCAACTAACAATTATTTTGCAAATCGATTAATCTCTCGATCATTTTTTTAGTAATCAATTAATAATCGGATAGACAAAGGTTCCTTAAAGAAGATTTTATATAGAATTAAACCAGGTGAACCTAAAACGTTTCGACTTGTGGAGTTCTGGATAGAGCATATTGACAGGAGAAAAAATTTTTTTTTGATTTACAGTGGGGCAAAAAAGTATTTAGTCAGCCACCAATAGTGCAAGTTCTCCCACTTAAAAAGATGAGAGAG